CAAAATACATCACATTCAAAGTTCATAAATCTATTTTACTACATCTTGTCCCCACCCCTCCCTACATCCCACTATCCCTCCACCTTAATACCCCCGTCCAGATCTTATTGACTAAATTCTTACTCCTCTTATCTGTCAATGTCTATGTCCCCATCCCTCTCACAACTCAGCTCTTTCAAGTTCCCCGTCAGGCTCTCCCCGGACTTTTCCCCCTAAGCTCCATACCAGTTCTCAGTGTCTTTTAGATGTTTTAAAGTCTAACCAACTACTCCACATTTTCCTAATTTTGTTACATTTTATCGTCCTCCATATGACACAGTTCTTCCATCCTAAAAATATTTTCCACTCTATTTAACTAATCATTTGTTCTTGGTGGCTCCGGGGCTTGCCGGTACTTGGGGATCAAGCCTTTAGCCGCAGTGATCAATTGATATAATATCCTGTTTTTATACTGTTTGCCTACGAGCTCTGAGTAAAATAGACATGTCCACGGATCCATTTGTATGGTGATCCCACTGATTTCCTGGATACAATTAATTATTTCTTTAAACAAATCCTGTATTTTTGGGCAATCCCACCATATGTGTGCCATTGTAACCTTTTTCCCCACAACCTCTCCAACATAAAGGTGAAACATCCACTTGCTGTTTATGTGCCACACTCGGTGTAATATACCACCTTGTCAAGCATTTGTAATTCATTTCTACTGTGTCAATGTTTGTCACCTCATGTGTCAATTTAAATATTTTCTTTCTTTCTTGTTCATTCACTTCTGTTCCATACTCCTTTTCCCATTTTTCCAAGAACCTGGGAGGATCAGCTCCCTCCATATCTATCAGGATCTTATATATCCTGGAGATGGGAACTTGTTTTTCAAATGGAACCAGTCCTCAGTGGCTGAGGGAGTGATGAAACAAAGTGTCCTAGTTGTCCATACCGCCACTCATCTAATGTGAAAAATAAATGATTTTTTCCCTTTAACTCTTGGTATGTGTGTAACTTCCCTTTGTGCAAAATATCCTTCAAACTTTTTTTATCTTTAATCTATTTACCAGAAACGATATCCTTCCCTGGAGGGGAATACTCCGTACCCACTAAAGGAGTCAAATTGGAATGATATTTTCAACCTTTCTGCTTATAAATTCCATCCCACACACTTAACACTATTCTCACTATTACCAAATTCTCATCTAGTGTACGAAATGTACAGTATGTGGTATCCATACAATCTTCCCTAGCTGTGCCTCACTTAGTGTTCCTTCCATATTCACCCAACCTTTCCCTTGTGAGTTAAATGTCCAGTCTGCTATTCGTGATAATAACCCTGCTAAATACTATTTCCTAAAATTAGGCAACCCCCGTCCCCCATTCCTTTTTACCCTACACAATACATCATAACTGATTCTCGGTTTCTTATTTGCCCATATAAGCCTGAGTATCATCTTCTTTATTACCCCGAAAAAAGACCCTGGCAAGTTTATTGGGAGCATGTAAAACTTCTAAAGAAGTTTTGGGACTATCACCATATTTACTAGGTTTATACGACCTATCCAAGAATCTCCTCCTTTTGAAAGTCTCCCCAACTGACCCTTTATTTCATTAATTAAGGGGATGAAATTTGCCTGGTTTAGGTTTTTCATTGAAGTTAATTTTATTCCCAGGTAGCCTATTTCCTTTTCCTTCCACGTGAATGGGAACTCTTTTTGAAGATTCAACTTCTCTTGCTTTAACATTTTAGATCTCTGACTTTGCAGGGTTTATTTTCAGATTTGAAAGCTTGCCATATTGTTTTAATAGCCTCATTGAGTTAGGCAACGTTATTCTAGGATCTACTATATAAAATAACATCGTCTGTGTATGCTGCCACCTTATGCTCCACTTCCCCTACCTTTATTCCCACTATATCTACACATCATCTTACCCTTGCCAAGACAGGTTCCAGTGACAGTACAAATAACAATGGAGATAGTGGGCATCCCTGTCTAGTATCGTTATGCATTTTAAAAAACTGGGAGAGGGATCCGTTGACCTTGACTGCCGCTGTCGGACCATTGTAAAGCCCTCTTATCCACTTCAACATTTTGGGCCCTAATCCTAAGACTTCTAACGTATGAACATAAATCCCCAGTTGACCCTGTCAAAAGCCTTCTCGACATCTATCAATAGAAATATTGTCGGCTGTTTCTCAGTCTTTACTCTTTGTAAGAGGAGCAATGATCTCAGACCATTGTCCTTCCCTTCTCTTTCCTGGATAAATCCTATGTGATCCAGATGTATCCACTCCAGAATCAGCTCCTTCAGTCTAGTTTGCAAAACCTTAGCAAACAATTTTGTATCAACATTTAATAAGGATATGGGTCTATAGCTAGCACACTGTGATCTATCCTTGCCTTCTTTGAGTATGATGGTCATATGTGCTTACAGTGATTCCTCCCTCTTTGCATCCCATCTCCTATTGAATTCATGTAACCACACATTTTGGGGACCAGAAGATCTCTAAATGTTTTAAAATAACCCACCATATATCCATCCAGACCAGGGCTCTTTCCTGAGGCCGTGTACTTTAATGCCAACCTAATTTCCTCCAGGGTAATAGTTCTCTCCAGGGCCTCTAATTTTTCTTCTGCTATTCTTGGCATCTCTACCTCCTTTAAGTATTTCTGCCTTTTTCTTTTCTTATCATCCTCTATTTCTTTTTGATTTCTAGGGCTCACATTAAAGAGCCTACTATAATTTTCTTGATGCCTATTAGCGATATCAGTGGTGGAATACACCAGCTCTCCTTTACCAATTTAAATTTTATCTATAAAGTTTTTGGATTTCTGTTTATTTAACCTCCTCATTAGATGTTTTCCAGGTATATACCCCCACTGATATCTTTCTTTTGATACCCTATTAAATATCTTCCTCAACTCCTGTTCCGTAAGATCTTTTAGTTCTTCTCTTTTACAGATTATCTTCTGATATATATCCATGCCTCTCTAATTTTTTTATGTAACTGTTCTAACTTATATAGCTCCTCCATCGCCCTCTTTATTTTTTCCCCCTGTTCTTTCTTTTTTTTGGCCACTATCCCTATCAATATTCCCCTGATATATGCCTTATGAGCCTCCCACACTGTGGCTACAGAGAGCTCCTTGGTCCCATTAAACTCAAAAAATTGCTCAATTTCCTGTCTAATCTTTTTCTCTATTTCAGGATCTTGCATAACCTCATTTAGTATCCAAGTATTTGTTTTGTCCTGCTCAGCAAAGATATGCAGCTTTGTTTCCTCATATTTTATTTCAGTTGTGTCCCATAGACTTTTCCATAGTCTTTCCCTGCCTGCATAATGATGAAATCGGACTATCACGTCTCTGGGACTGTCCCCCAATATTCCTAAAGACCATCTAATCTTGTGTGCTCTCTCAATTTGGGAGGTTTTCTGATACCGGTCTACCCATTATACACTCTCTTTATTTTCTCCTCAAGATCCTCTGCCTGTTCTTCTTCAAGTAGGCCCCAGTACCTTAGATTCTTTCTTCTGTTGCGGTTCTCTTGGTCCACTAACTTATATGAGAGCTTTCTCTGTTCACTACGCATCTTCTCCACCTGTGTTTCCAATTTTGATTATTATTATTATACAGGATTAATATAGCGCCAACAGTTTGCGCAGCGCTTTACAAAATTAAGGTAGACATTACAGTTACAATACAATTTGGCACGAGAGGAAACAGAGGGCCCTGCTCATTAGAGCTTACAATCTAGGAGGAGGTAATAGCTGTGGTGGGATGAGATGGAGGAAAGAGATGGTGGTTTACTAGGTAGAAGCAGGATAGGCTTCTTTAAAGAGAGAGGTTTTCAGGGAGCGTCTAAAGGTGGATAGATTAGGAGACAGCTGGATAGATTGGGGTAGGGAGTTCCATAGGATGGGAGAAGCTAGGGAGAAGTCCTGGAGGTGAGCATGGGAGGAGGTGACACGGGAACTGGAGAGCAGAAGGTCTTGGGAGGATCGAAGAGAGCGGTTTGGTTGATATTTTGAGACCAGGTTGGTGATGTAGCTGGAGGCAGAGTTGTGGATGGCTTTGTAAGTTGTTGTTGTTAAAATCCAAACAAGATAACGTAGATCCCAATAACCACAGACCTATATCTCTGCTCATTGTGAACAAAAAAATCGTAGCTAAAATCTTGGTAAATAGAATCAACACTCTCAACCATCCATTGTGACTGAGAAGGGTTTATTCGACAAAGTGCTTCATTTAATCAGTATCATGAATAAAACAAATATACCTGGTTTCATGTTATCTTTAGATCTACAAATAGCTTTGGACTCTTTCTCAGGATTATATGAAATATACCATACCTAAATGGGGTTTTGGGGATCCTTTCTTAGTTTGGATTTCCTCCCTCTACATCAACTCAACCCCTATAATTGATACACGAATCAAACTGTTTTACCGTGGGTGCTGCAATGGGTACCACCAGACATTAAGTGACATAAAGGAAAATGTTAGAGTCAGGATGAGATCTGAAAGACTAGGAAAATCTCAGATAGAAGTAAATGTAGAAAGGGAAACTTTTTGCTTACTTCAAGAGTTCTGGGCAGAGCAGTTGACACTTCTTGGTGTGTTAGATAGCGGTTCCCTTTACATGTGATGTGGTTCTTCCTGCAGACACCTAAATCACTGAAGAATCCAAGTACAACCAAAGAGATAGATCAGGGTCAAGAAAGAAGCCATAAAGTGGACTTGAATAGACATAATAAACATTTCAAATTGTAGGTAGATTTCAAACACACCATTTTTCTGGACCAAGAGCACTGGTCCAGAATAAAGGATTTCTGACAAAAGTGCTGTTATTAACTAGGGAACATTTTCCATGAGCCCTTTTATTTTCTTCCAGTCTGTTAAATTCAGCAAATAAATTGTAATTGTGCATTAAAATGTGGATAAACATGTTTAATATATATATAATAATAATGGATGTTTATAATTTGAGAATTTCTCTTGCATTTTATTTTTAGTCTTGTTTACGATCTTGTTTCCAAGAAATGATGGTTGAGTACTGCAAGTGTGCCCATTACCTATATCCACTACTTGATGGTGCCCATTACTGTAATAACCAGGAAGATCCTGATTGGGGTAAGCAAAAACAGAATTCTGCAAACTTTATAGGCCAGTATGGCTAGTGGTAGCACATTGGTCGTGCATTTGATTTGTGTCAACCTAAAACATACACAGGGGCCCTAGAAGACAAGAACAACCATAATGGTTATCCTATGTTAAATACAGAGGAAGCCATGTTGAAGGCCTAGTTCACAATGAGGTCTATGAATGTCAGGATTCTAATAAGATATGCTAGATCCTGATCATGAGCTTACCAGAAGTTGACTGGTGAATACTTGATATGAAGAGAAGTGCTCTAGGCTTAGAAGATCACAGGGCCCTGTCCTAAAAGTTGTCTACATGCGTGAGTGTTGATAGGGTACCTAAGGTAGTGTTCTGTGGTCTACGTACGCCGCAGCTATGCAACATAATACATGTAGAAAAAAGGTCTGTGCCATTAAATGCTTCTAACTGATGGAACTCTACCATGACATCTATAGTTAAAGTCAGTCATGTTACTGAAGACAATACTAGAAAAAGGATTAAATGGGAAGTACAACAAGGATGGCATAGCCTGGGAACTGGGGTAGTTTGCTGGCAGTAAGTTTTATCAAGTCCCCAGTAAAAGGATCATATTCTGTATTGTGTATCTTCAAGAATATATGCAAAAGATATGATGGTTAATTATCTCTAAGGATTGAATAAGAAAATTGTTAAATTGTTTGCATATTTTTCTTTACAGTGTCATGCTTTTATAACCTAAGCAACAATGTAGTAAAGAGAGAACGTTGTATCGACATGTGTCAGCAGCCCTGCAAGTAAGTGTGCTAAATCATATATTCTATTTCCATCATGCTATTGGTAGCCGTCTTTTGCACAATTTGAACCTTATAAACAAGGATCTGCTTAAACCATTACATTAAAGCATGAAACTGTCCATTACCCTGAAATTTCAGTTTTGAATAGCTACTGGTAGGCCAAATCACTGACCATCTCCTAATTCCCAGGAACTCTCTCCAAATCTGAATGTTCATTTCTAGCTGCTTGCTGTTGTTATACAGATTAAGCAGCCACTGTCATGGGTGATATTTGTATGTAACATCTCTTCAAAATGATGATGTCCCTCCTTCACGGATCATTTTCAGTTTCAATAAGTTTCTTTTGAAGGTTCGTAAGATACATAATGTAACCTGTGCAAATGCACAAACGTGACTAACTTATGAAAAACATCAGAGTGCATCTATAAGTCAAATAAAACCAAATAGGTTATAACAGTAAAAGTCAGTAAGCATAACATTCTGGAAGCCAGAGTTGCAATAACAATACACGTATTGTGGACTGCCTGAAATTAGGTAGGGAAGGAAGGGTGAGTGGGAAAAGGGAGGGAGGGAAAACTTCTCTTAACTGTGAACTAGGAGGCACTCTTGGATTAGATAGAGTTGGGGGCGCTACACAGAAGGTGGTCCAAAGATGTAGTAGCCAAGGCCTTTGTGGACCGAGGGTCAAGAGAAAGATTAGAGGTAAAGGAATAGAGCAATACCAAAAGAAATATTAGAGCAGGAGGACATCGGGGACACCCCAGCCAGAATCCCAGGCCTGTCAATGCCTATAGTAGCGTATAGATTTAAGGGACATGGAAGGATGAGTGTATTGCATCCATTGGGCCCAGGTTCAGATAATGTTCTATTATTTTTCCTATTGGCATTGCCTTATGTTAAACATACAATGTCCCCTCTGTTAGTACTTGGGGCCAGCTCTGATTGGTGCAGTAAGAATGGTGCTCTATAACAGAAAAGGTGGCAAAAATAGAATCTTTTGGAGATCTTGGAGTTTGAACCATTGGAGCTACAAGGTATTTATGAAGATTCAGTCCTCTTCCATCCAATCATCAGTAAACTGACCTTTTTGAAGAGAGCATCACTTAAATGCACTGAGTACAGGGGACATGAAAGGAAACTTATATAGTTTTGTGGGTGGTGTCATTAGGTGTCCAGGTTCGGGGAAGATTTATAAACAAGGCAAATCTAGGCAGGAATTAAAGGCGCATGGGATGCCCAGGGAGCCCAACTACAACTTTTAGGCCTTGCAATAAACCAGTGGAATAGCAATTTTGTCAAAGCTGTGCCCCTGCTTGTTACCTTACAAGGGTGGATGCATTTGTAGACAGTTGTATGTGGTGAGACCATGTCATACAGAAAGTGTGAACGGAGGGTCTTCTCTTAATGAACTCCAAATTAATGTCAATCAAAGGAATGCGGAGGTCATATCTGCCACCTTTTCTATGTCCCATTTCTGCCTTAATACATTGTACGTCTCTGGTCCAAGTTCCTGCCTATTTTGCAAACTCTAAATTTCATAAGACAGCACACATCCCTTGGATCTTAAACACTCTTTATTGGTCACGATTAAAAGTTACATAAATGCAGAAATGCGTTAACTTTGGCATGTGTATGTACCTTTTATTTGTGACCAATAAAGTGTTCGAGATCCCAAGCATGTGTGCCACCCAGGGGCGGACTGACAACTCATGGGACCCCCGGGCAATAGGGGATCATGGGGCCCCTGTGTCCTTGCCCACACTTAAACCACACCCAAAAAAGCCTTTGAAAGGTACCAGGGGCATCTCATGGGGCCCCCTTCTGACCCCGGGCCCTTGGGCAGTGCCCGAGTTCCCAAATGGTCAGTCTGCCCCTGGTGTCACCTTATGAAATTGAAATACTACTACATGGCAATCAGGACCCAATTATGAGAACTGTCTACCTGCACTGCAGACTGAGAATATTTTCCGGGTTGAGCAGCAGTGAGTCTTGGAATATTTTGCAAACTCTGTAATTCTTTATGCTCCTTGGTAATCTGTAATGATGAGAAATAAGACCTACTCCAACCATTTTCCACATCTTGCCTAAAAGCAAACCGAACATAATGTTTAAACTTGAACTTCATGCTCAACAAATATTGTACAAATTTAAGAACCAATGTATTCTTACTTGAATATTGGCATCCTTTCTGAATTTCTTCTCGATCGGTGCACAAAACAATGCCTACATGAAGAGGTTACCAGTAATACAAACCAGTTATTTCTGCTGTCCCTCCTAGCTGCAGGGTGACTGGTCTCGTATTTGCCTCCTCTTGTAGTTTTCTGTAGGCAGCCTGTAATGGGTGGGACTTCCAGGCCCCTTGCACAGCTCTGGTCTCTGGGTTTGCAACAGGAATAAAGGGGAAATCTTCCAATGGGGACACTAGATTTCCTTTTTCTTCTTGTTTTTTTTGCCTGTTTTTGACCAGAAGTGAAGGGAGATCTCCCCAATGGGATGAAGATGACAAAACTGATAGGGGTTATAACCCTCACTTATCTATCCAAAATGAAAAAAGGTTTTGTCTTCTGTCTACTTTAAGTTATATAGATTACAGCAAAGAGAACGCCAGGAAATGCCTATAACCGCTCAAATCACTAGTTTATAAAAAAAATATTAGGGAGCTGCATCAAGAGAGAAAAACATTCTAAATATGCACTTCTTTCATTAACAGTGACAGTAATTACAAAATGACCATCTCCATGGCTGACTGGCCATCAGCAGCAGCAGAGGTAGGTTTCCGCAGTTGACGCAAATGCCACCCAAAAGTGGTGATGTTTATTCACAATGTCAAATTGAATATATTCTCTGCAAAACACAGGCCTTAATAATAAAGTCATGAGTATTAGTAAAGGCTCGTGTTTATGGACATTTATGGACAAATTCCTACTGAAGCCTATTAACATATTTTTCAAAGCTTTTTTAAAATTCTTCTGATGCTAGAGCAAAGCTCTCCAGGTGCATTCTGGGATAATAGTCCTCCAGGGGCTGAGATATGTTACTATTCATGCTGTGATGCCTACCTGCCATCTGCTGTGTTTATTCACTGTTCCCATTGACGTGGCATTATCAACGCCAATGCAGCTTTGATCTGGAAAAACATTGCATCTGAAATGATTATGAACATTCTTTATCAATTAATAGACACTCATTTTTTTCATCTAGTTGAAAAAAGGTCTTTGAGACCTTTTGGCTTTTAATGTACATTTGTCATGAGAATTATATGGGGGCTTTCAACATACAATTGCCTGTCTGTGTCTAATTTTTTTGGCCCATAGCAAACACATACCGAATGAAAGTCAAATGTCCTAATCTCAAAGCATCAGCATGACAGCTGAGAAACTAGCATTATCATGATGAGTGGTCACCCTACCTATTTCTCTTGTGACAGGTTATTTTATTGGAAAAACTCTTTCTGTTAGTCTGCAATTCTGGAATGATGAGTTAAAACACAATAAAATGTTATCAGTTATAAATACACAATGATTTCAGTTGAAGCATTTCTTTACTGCAAGTTATGAAATAGAGAGAAAACAGGTGGCGCACACACCTAGTGCATTATCCAAGGTTTATTGTAGGAATGAAATAATAAAAACATACTCACAGACGAAGCATGTATCTAAAAAGCATAGAAAAATGACAATGGCCACAACGGCGGGCAAGGTGTTCTCACTGTCAGTGCGGTCAAATGTCTGACGCGTTTCGGGGACGAATCCCTTTCTTCAGAGCTGATGACCAACCTCTGATGCTGATGTATGATGAATGGAAAGAAAGAGCCTACATCAGCATCAGAGGTTGGTCATCAGCTCTGAGGAAAGGGATTCGTCAACGCGTCAGCCATTTGACCGCACTGACAGTGAGAACACCTTGCCCGCCGTTGTGGCCGTTGTCATTTTTCTATGCTTTTTAGATACATGCTTCGTCTGTGAGTATGTTTTTATTATTTCATTCCTACAATAAACCTTGGATAATGCACTAGGTGTGTGCGCCACCTGTTTTCTCTCTATCCAGTGGCTGATTTCCCCGTCTGAGGAGGGCTGCACCCCTGGAACATTTCCTTTGGTTGTCGCTGTCCTGGTACCCTTGGCTTCCCTTTTGGCTGTGCATATCCTGAGGCGCTGGAGAGTACATACGATAGGAAGTTATGAAATAAGCTGCTTTTATGGTCAAATATTTTTGTATTCCAAAGAGATTGCTTAATATAAAGTATGTCATGCTCTTTGCCAGTATACAGGCGCAAAGGAGAGAGTGATATGAAGTGGTGAGAACTGGTAGCCACAATCCTAGTTCATAGATGTGTATTCACTGGGGGAATCCTAGCTCTTGTAAGAAGGAGCCTTCCCACTTCAGTTTGTGAGTTTTTTTTAGATCTGGATACTTTTATGCTTTTATAGCGGTTTTATGGAATAGTCCGGTGTACCCATAGATGTGAGATGAGTGTTCTCATCCTGGCTGAAAATGGCTAGATTGAAGGACCATCTCATGTCTGTGGTATGCTCTGATAGTCATGTCCAGGGGCGGACTGAAACTCATGGGGCCCCCGGGCAATAGTGGATCATGGGGCCCTGTGTCCTTGCCCAAACTCAAAAAAAAACCTATGAAAAAGGTATCAGGGGCATCTCATGGGGCCCCCTACTGACCCTGGGCCCTCGGGCAGTGCCCGAGTTTCCATATGGTCAGTCCGCCCCTGGTCATGTCTAACCAGATAAGCCATCATTGAAGCTCTTACTCATCTTCCCTCTTTGTAGAGGTACATAGTAAGCTATCTCCTAACTTTCAAGGCTTAGATAGCTTTTAGCACACAGTGTTGAAGCAAAGGAAACACCTCTGCCATGCTCCTAGTTAGATGTCAAAACACAACCTTAAGGATTTTTATACTGTTTTTTTTTTTAAATCGCAAATGCAGTAATTAAAGGGCTTGTAAATATGTACATATACCCAGTGACACACAGAGATTAAGCAAATCATCCTATATAAGTTGTACCTGTTTATCTTCGGCTGTCTATCACCTACATCAATTCAAAGTGGAGAATTTACAAAGGAGCAGGGGCGGACTGACAACTCATGGGGCCCCCGGGCAATAGGGGATCATTAGGCCCCTGTGTCCTGGCCAAACTCAAAAACGCCTATGAAAAAAGGTACCAGGGGCATCTCATGGGGCCCCCTACTGACCCCGGGCCCTTGGGCAGTGTCCGAGTTTCCAAATGGTCAGTCCGCCCCTGCACAGGAGCTCTGAAAAGCAGGGGGTGGAGAGCTGAAGTTACACCCAGTGAGGAGAACTCTGAGAGCTGATTGGAGGGAGGGAATACCCCTCCCCCTTACCACAGAACACAGGAACGGAGCTGAGGCTGTCAATCACAGACTGTGTCCTCCCCGTCACCATTTTTCTCCTGGTGTCAGGAAAACTCGTCAGAAGTGACTTATGCTGATAGCACAGGAATGAGGCAGCAAAAATGATAGTTAGTCCTTTGTATACAGACAAGCATGCACTACAGAGGGATATGTTTTGTTTATATTTCATGTCAGAGGTTTACAATAACTTTAGGATGCTGGATAAGCTGTTTAATGTAGTATAACACTGTTGGCATTTTTTTTATAGAATGTCTGTACATTGGACCAAAAAGGGAAACAACTGAGCAGGAACGAGGGACAGAGGGACTTAGTTCTGAAATAGGTTCACTCCATGCACAGGGAGGGACATTTTCTTGCTATATATCCTTGTTCACAAATTTTCCTTTCCATTAACAATTAGGAGCAATGTCTTCATGTTTGACCAATCCTTAAGTGTATGGATAGTTTTAGGTTGCCCCCAAAAACTGGGAAATTGGAATCCTTCACATTTAGAGCTATGGGGAGTGAGTTATCTGCCAATACTGTCATAGAAAGGAGAAGCACCACAACCAATGTTTTGGACTACTCCCCAATCTGATAAAAAGAAAAGGGCAGTATAGTGGCTAAGTGCTTAGCACCTCTGCCTGGCAGCACTAGGGTCATTGGTTCGAATCCCAACCATGGCACCACCTGCCTGGCGTTTGCATGTTCTCCCTGTGCCTGCATGGGTACTCTGGTCTCCTCCAATCCTCCAAATACATGCTGGTAGGTTAACTGGATCCAATTTAAATTGGCCCTAGTATGTGTATGTATGAATGTGAGTTAGGGACCTTAAATTGTACACTCCTTGAGGGTTAGGGACTGATGTGAATGTACTGTATATATGTAAAGCGCTGTGTAAATTGATCATGCTATAGAAGTACCTGGAATAAATAAGGGAATAGATTTATATAGCTGATTCCATTATGTAATTGCTCACAGCCTTGAGTACCAAGTATTGATACGAAGCTTACTCTGAGTTGGTGTAAGAGATTCAGTGTATTCCACAAACATTTCACACTGACAGCTCTTCATTCTCTTTTCTCCAGGATTGGATTTTTCATGTTCTCTCATATGAAAAAGACTCCAGCACTGACATCACTGTAAACAGGTAAATACGTCCATATAGAAGCCATGTTTTCAACAATAATGAAACATTAAAAGCACATTTTCTGGAAGAGGTGAAAATTGTATATTTCCCCATAAAACACCTATGCATGGAGTAAGTATGCAGGCTGCCGTTGTCCTCTGGAAACACTAGAATAACTGGGTGATTTGGACCATAAGGTCTTGCATGACTGTATTAAAAAAAAAGGAACCAGCCACACCCAATGCAGCTAAAGAAGACTCAGACTCTAGGAACAAGGGGTAACATGATTCCATCCTGCAGATAACGGCCACATTAATAGACATGCTGCAAGCAGCTCCAGAGCCATCAGTGGAGTGTAAGTTGAGGGCACCAGGTACAGGACTGTTCTTTTCCCCACCCTTGTGTTTAGAATCAGGCATGTTGACAGTAAGGCAAGGTAAGGCTCAGGGTACAAAGCCTTCAGATACTGATGAAGCCCAAACAGCTGATGAGGGTCGGAGGTGACCCAATTCACTGTGGGCAGGCAGAAAGAACAGACCAAAGATTGGAGTACCACATAACTCTTTTCAAACAGGAGCAGCAGTGAAGAAATACTTCCTTGGTGCTGAATATTAGGAAAAATAGCACCCCACCCAGAAAATGACGTTAACACTCTGTCCCATATTGTTAAACCCTTCAATAGTGAAAAACTGCAAGACTTTTAAAGTTACCCAATGACCTAAGTGAATGAGGTATCTCCTGGTGCTCCACCCAATTGTACTACTCATGGAGTGAGCCTTCAAAGACAGGGCGAACACAGTGCTAGTGCCAATGGCTCTAGACCTGAAAAGGTCTCCTCAGCTAACTTGTTACCAGAATGGAGTCTAGAATGCTCCCTATATGTTCCCAAAGGCCACTTCCAGGCTATCCCCACAATGTCCAGTTCAGTGGGGTCCAGATATGACACTTCAAAAGCCAGGCTAAGTATGGCCATGCCAGATGTCTGCAATCAAAGAGGCCAGCTCTAGCAGCTAGAGAGAGGTCTTGGTTGAAGGAAAAGGTTTGGAGATATAATGATGCTTGTAAAAATTAGCTGTCTTTTACACACCAGAGCTCAGGAAAATATTTTTGCTCGGTGTCCACCTCCTAGGACGCTAGCAAACAAATGGAGTGTTAGTAGCAGAAAGGAGTTATCTTGGGCTGGACTACCATTTTTTGTTTGCCCGTGTCCAATCTTTGTGCAGTGGGCAGTATAAACTAAAGGTGAATGATCTCTAGTGACCCTCAATGAAGGAAAAATACATTTTATAAAGTAAAATCCAATAAAGCAATTCTGAAGGAAACCTGCACTGAGGAAGTATGTAGGCTACCATTGCCTCCAGAAAATACTAGTTCTCTGACTATCATGATGATCTTGTGGCTTCAATACCTGTCCCTGAAACAAGTATGTGCACTTTAGTTCTAGCTTTTCACTCTTCTCTCACTGTATGCTTTTTTCAGACAAGTGTTTCACTAAGTAGTGAAGCCAGGATAAAGATGATTTACCTGAACCATGCATCTATAATAGCAAGTCAGCAATGGCAGTTCATATTTTTTTCTGCTCACAGGTTCACTTAAAGAATGTTTGCAATGTTAGTGATTGGGTTTACATCTATTTTTAACAGGTTAATGTTAGTTAAAAGACATTTTTATATTTACTGTATAAGCATTTTAATTAAAATAATACCAATAATACCATGAAGGTCCTGTTATAGGATGACAACTTCCTGAATGTGTCTCATATTTGTGCTCCAGCATTTTTTTGTCCAATGGAAACCATAAGTGGTCATTTCAACAAACATTACTCAGGTATGATCCATTGTGGTCAACATCTGGAAACTTGCCCTGGTAAATGTCATGCAGCCATTGCTGTAGAGCACAGGTGTCAAACTGGCGGCCCTCCAGCTGTTGCCAAACTACAAGTCCCATGAGGCATTGCAAAATTGACAGTTACAAGCATGGCTCCCAAAGTCAGAGGCATGATGGGACTTGTAGTTTTGCAACAGCTGGAGGACCACCAGTTTGACACAGCTGTTGAGCATGTAGACAGGAAGTGGCTGCCACAGATCAGAAGCACAGAGATTGAAAAAAAAAAAAAAGATGTGGAAAAAAGGTGAAAACAGTATTTTTTTTTTTTATTGGCAGTTGTTTATGATACACAGTGTTTTAACAAACTGAACTTTGTCCAGTTAGGTTTGCATTCACTTTAAATTATGTCAAATTCTCATAGTCTAGGAGCAGTGAGTTCAGCATCAGTAACCACACATGCTGTATTTTGACTATTAAAATTCTAGAAAATTTTAAACCTTTCACTTTTTATTTGCTGCTTTTCTCAGGGATGGCATCATGAGACTGAATATCTATTTTGAAGAATTTAACTACCGCAGTATTTCAGAGTCAGCGACCACCAATGTAAGTGGGGCTGTAAGAAAGTATTATAGAGAGTATTTGTGTAATACCAGAATGTACCCCCTACTGGCACACAGATGTAACAGATCTTACATATAAAGTCACTTTACTGGAACAGGAGTTATTTTTTTCTTTTAACAGCCCGTCATATCATATTCATCACGTTTTGTTTTAAAGCAGTACAAAAAAGGAAATGTTTATTATATTTCAGCTTAATATTTCTTAGATGTGATGGCTGAATTTGTTTTCTTTTTTAGGCTTTCTTTCTTTTATTTTCATCTGGTGATCCAGCCAGAGTCTGTTGTTTTTCAAAAGAACAAATTCTCTAGCAGAAAGTGTCAGTTACAGAGATGAGACAAACCATTTAACACTGACAGGGGTGCTCACATAGATCAGCTTTTATTTATTTATGTAAAACCTTTATCCCAAAAGGAGAAAAAAAACTTTTGCTGTAACTGTTTTTTAAAGTAATAGCTGGAGTTTGGCTTCAATTTGTTAGTGTATTTAAGTCTGCTAGTACATGTAACACTCCCCTCTCCTCCAGACTGACAATGCTGCTGTTCAAAGGTGTCACAAAGGAAAAAACAGATAGAGTCCCCCTGCGCTCAAGAGTTGTGGGATGATGTAAACAGTACAGGTCTTTAGGCATCCATCTCCAGCAGCAGGCCCTCTAAGGGTCAGGTGGGGGGGGGGACCCAAATGTAAACTGCAAAAGCAATGGAAGAGAGGGCGCACCAGCCTAGTGCATTACCTGATAAAAAAGCTTTAATAGAAACAAAAAAATATACTCACTGAGGAAAAGGGAATTGTCCCCGAAATGCATCAGCCATCTGAGGGTCTTCTCAAGGTTTTGGAGTTGACCTGGTGACCTGTTCGCTTTGAGATTATGATGCTTTTGATACATAATTGTTTGTGAGTATATTTTGTTGATTCTATTAACGTTTTTTACTCAGGCAATGCACTAGGCTGGTGCACCCTTTCTTCCATTGTTTTTGCTGTCCAATGGTGCCCCCTGTTCTCCTTAATTCAGAGTAGGGGCACTCTAATACAGGAGGTGTGTTGCTGGCCAGATCACCAGGTGAAAACAGAAAAAAAAGGCCTAAGAAAAGAAAACTAATGCAATCTAAGGGTTGGTAAGCTGAGATGTATTACATTTTTGATGTTGGGTTTAATACCATTTTAAGCTGAAATTTAGGTATGGCAATTTTTACAAAGTTACATTGGTCCAGTTTGGACTAATGTAAGTATGTATGGTGCTATAATTATAGAATCCCCATGGAAGCTGGAAATCATTGTAGTAGGAGCCAGCACTACTCTCCACTAGCTTTTGGGTCCTGTGCTGAGCTTCTGCCCTGCATTGCAGACTCCAAAGGCTGCTCATTCTGCAAGGGTCCCATTCAAGGAACACTTTTTTCTCAATAAATTCAAAGTGTTCTATGATTAGACGAGGCGGAAAGGTAGGGCAGTGGTGTCACAATCTTCACCTCGTCCAATGAGAGTAAACTTTTCATTCAATGAGAAAATGCAGTGTTCTGAGTGGCATCTCTGCCGAGCAGGCCACCTCCTGTGCTAAGTAAGCCACAGGGCAGCATGGGACCAGGAAGCTACTGGCAATCGATACAGTAGTGGTGCCTATAGTGCTGAGACAAGGTCATCTAGCGCGCAGGGCGAACATGCCAAATTTCACCTCCCCTCAAGATGTATTAGCATTGTGTTAACAAAAATCCCCCCCCCCCCCAAAGAAAAAAAAAAAAATTGAGCACTAATCTGCATGCTTACCACCTGAGCATAAGTCTTTCTCCTCCCAGTTCAAATCCCGCCCCTGCTGAAATCTCCCCTCCCAGCTCAAGATCATCCCTATACCAAAATCTCCCCCACAAAAAAAAAACACCCCTCCTAGCACAAATCACTACAGCTTGTAGCAGCAGGAATTCTCCTTGTGGTGGTGCCCCCCCCCCCAACCTTACATCTCATCAAAGTGCCCCCCTGCCCTTCCCTTCCCTTGTTCCATCCCTGGGTGCCTACTAAAGTGATTGCCAGATTCCAGGATGATCCCATAGGTATGGCACATACATAACTACATTGGTCCAATGCAACTACGTAAAACATGTATACCTAAACTTCAGCTATAAAGTCCAACTCCAGGTGCAACTAATTTTTATGTTTCTTTATTACTAACAATCACACTTTCATTATGTTATTACTTCAGAAGTTCTGATGAGCTCTGCTGATATGTAGCGTGGGAGCCGTAGATGTGTAGAGTGGGAGCAGCGGCGGACTGACCATTTGGAAACTCGGGCCTGGGGTCAGTAGGGGCCCCATGAGATGCCCCTGGTACCTTTTTCATAGGCTTTTTTTAGTTTGGGCAAGTACACAGGGGCCCCATGATCCCCTATTGCCCGGGGGCCCCATGAGTTGTCAGTCCACCCCTGAGTGGGAGCCATACTTCCGGCTTCCAGCTGCATTGGAACAGAGTCCTATGAAGGTCCCCAGTTGGGTCGTTGTGCCTTCACCCTACCTCAATTCTACTTGCCATTCACAAAGTACAGCACACGCATTACCACTGTGAGACCTCCTGAAGTAAAAACAAAACGACTGTAATCATTTGAGTATTAAAGGTTGAAAAAAAACATACCATAGCTGTGCCTGGAGTTGGGCTTTAAATTTAGAACTGAAACAGTGGAAGCCGATTGCTCCACGTAACATGGTATTCACCTATACAACACTTCCATACACAAGTCCAAGGAAGAGGAAATGTCTGACCTTTTTTGTTGGTGTTAAGAAAATATTGATTCTACTGTGTTATCAGAGATATCATTTCTCACCATTTAATTACTTTGTAATCTCTCTGTAAATATTACTGTCCATAAAAGTGAATTACTCCCCACAAGTCACTGCAGCCTCAATTCTCTATACAGTATAATTATTTGGTCCAGCCACACCATGCACACACTAGACATGTGCAATTCTTTTAGTTTTGATTTGTTTTTTTTGGACGAAAATTTTGTTTTCGGAAATTTGGATGTATCCAAGTTTCCAATTGGACATAAAAACGAATGGCAAAAAAAAAAGTTATAATGAAAAAAACGAAATGCATTTGTTTCATTCGTGTTTTTGATTTAGTTTGATACACAAATAATTGTAAATACGGCAGGTAAATTTTACTTAATGAGTGGGTACATATGGGGTACATAGTACCCCTGCTCATTCAGCAAAAACATGTCAAAAGTAAACAAAAACACAAACAGTTTTTTGACAGGATATTTATGAATAAATAAATGCCCCCTGAAGTAGATCCAACGTCAGTCACAATGAACGCCTACCCACACACACACCAAAAAAAGAACATCAGAACATGACGTGTCCCATCCAAGGACACTCTAAACATGCAGGGCACTTGTTTATTTACATTCTGCTGTCAGCTATTCTTTACAATGAAATTCGGATCGGATTTAAAAATATTAAATCTTTCTGAAACAAAAGAATATACAAAATTAATCTCAAAAACAAATCTATGTGTAACAAATATGACAAAATGAAATTCTTCAATTAACGAATAAACACGTAAACAAACAAAAAGGACTGAATTCAAAGACACCCCGAAAATCAAAGTAAAAAAATGATGCAGCAGGCTAGTCCATTTTGCTGAAATTTCATTGCAGCAACTCAAAATGGTACTCAGTAGTTTGTATGGCCCCCACGTACTTGTATGCATGCCTGACAACGTCGGGGAATGCTCATCAGATGATGGATGGTGTCCTGGGGTATTTCCTCCCAGATCTGGACCAGGGCATCACTGAGCTCCTTGACAGTCTGAGGTGCAACCTGACATCGTCGAATGGACCAAAATATGATATCCCAGAGGTGTTCTATTGGATTTAGGTCAGGCGAGTGTAGGGGCCATTCAATGGTATCAATTCCTTCATCCTCCAGGAACTGCCTGCATACTCTCGCCACATGAGGCCGGACATTGTCGTGCACCCAAGAGGAACATAGGCCCCACTGCACCACCGTAGGGTCTGACAATGGGTCCAAAGATTTCATCCCCATACCTAATGGAAGTCAGGGTGCCATTGTCTATCCTCTAGAGGTCTGTGTGTCCCTCCATGGATATGCCTCCCCAGACCATCACTGACCCACCACCAAGACGGTCATTCTGAGTGATATTACAGGCAGCAGAACGTTCTCCACAGCTCCTCCAGACTCTTTCACGTCCGTCACATGTGCTCAGGGTGAACTTGCTCTCATCTGTGAAAAGCACAGGGCGCCAGTGGCAGACCTGCTAATTTTTGTGTTGAATGGCAAATGCCAATCGAGCTCTGTGGTGCTGGGCAGTGAGCACAGGGCCCACTAGAGGGCGTCAGGCCCTCAAGCCACGTCATGAAGTCTGTTTCTGATTGTTTGGTCCACCAGTGGCCTGCTGGAGGTCATTTTGTAGGGTTCTGGCAGTGCTCATCCTGTTCCTCCTTGCACAAAGGAGCACATACCAGTCCTGCTGATGGGTTAAGGACCTTCTATAGCCCTGTCAAGCTCTTCTAGAGTAACTGCCTATCTCCTGGAATCTACTCCATGCTCTTGAGACTGTGTTGGCATTATTGATGTGCCATCCTGGAGGAATTGGACTGCCTGTGCAACCTCTGTAGGGTCCAAGTATGGCCTCATGTTACCAGTAATGACACTGAACCTAGCCAAATGCAAAACTAGTGAAAAATAGTCAGAAGAGATGGAGTAGGGAGGGAAAAAATGTCCGTGGCCTCCACCTGTAACACTGCTGCTGTTTTGGGGGTCATCTCATTATTGCTTATCTAGTGCACCTGTTGTTAATTTCATTAACACCAAAGCAGCTGAAACTGATTAACAACCCTCTCTGCTACTTAACTGACCAGATCAATATCCCAGGAGTTTCACTGACTTGATACTATACTTTGATTAAAAAGTGTTCCTTTTATTTTTTTTATTTATTTATTTTTATAAGTTACACATAAAAGATTGTCTTAAAGGATAAGTTCACCTTTGGAACATGTTACATGTTCCACCCATTTTTAGGGTGGAATATGTAACAAGTTCCCATAGCTACAGCTGAGACTTCTAATGCAGGACCGAGGGAAATTGTAGACAATTTTTTGTCCCCAGAGGTGTTACTTAGGGTCAATTGCCAGAGGACAAAGTCAGCCAAGATCAGACATAAAAACCATGTGAACTGAGACTAGCTAACTACAGTATGGTACACGGAGACAGAAGTAACAGAGACCAAATATTGTATCACTAGTGGGTGGACATGGCTCATTTTAAATGGGCAAGAACTGGACTTTTCCAAAGCACCTGATAGTGGTGATAGAATTGTGTGCAAAAACACTCCCCAGACTACAACCCAAAGCAAAACAGACAAACTGACCAACCAACACATATGGACTCAAGGTGTACTAACAGGCATTTGATCATAACCACAAAGACAGAAGCAAATGGACAGTGTGTATAGGGATAGAAGGTTGTCGGAAGAGACCACACCAACAGAAACCACCAAAAACATGTACCGGGAAAGACATTTACCAGAAAAGACCACACAAACAACTTAGCAGCTAGTGCTGGGAAAAAAAGGTTACCAGGAAAACAGACTAGACAAAAGCAAGGCTAAATGCTAATTTAAGAGCAAACATAGCAGGAGCTAAGCACATAGAAACTGACATGGATCAGACTAGTGTGCTCCACAACAGGCAAATTGACACACCCGATAAAATAGCAGTAGAAGAAACGGAAACTGGTGGGAATGGGATGGAGCAGGGTGGAGATACCAAGTGATGAGCAGGAGCTATACAACAGATAGATAGCAAAGGAAAAGCAAAGAGAGGTGTGTGCAGGAAGGACAGCACACAAGGCTGTGCAATACATGTGACCAATCTATGTTTAAATATTTGGCCTGCAACCAGATCCTCACACTGTCCACTATTGTTCTCCCAAAATACCTGTATCAGCGTCTTTTTCCCTCACTTATCCATTAAAATAAATGTCTGTGTGTCTCATAAGTGAAATTACAAGTTTCAGGGGTGCAGTCACTGCAGACGATAGTTTACCCTGAGGGAGAGCCAACCAATTACCCCCCAAGATCTGCTGCCAGCTTTAGTGTTGAAATGGCTCTTTCTGGTTGGAGAAGAGTCTGTTCCTCACAGTTTGTACTTTAAGTGATCCTGTTGCTATGGTTTAGAATTTAATTAAGTCATGCCTGTAAAAGAAGTAATCAAATACAAACATTTCCTGCTGCCAGCATCTCCAAATGCTTCCCTAATCCTTAGAAATCTGTTGATGTCCACACCCAAGCCAACACTTCTGGGGGTGCCCATCTCTGTGGTCCCCACTACTCTCACTGGTTCTTAATACTGATTTTTCAGTCACTACTTTGCCTTGTAATGGGTGGAGGTCAGAGGGAGGAACTAGAGAGAACTGAACCCCAGGAGATTGACATTCCCACAAATGTCTGTTTCGGTATGGACTTCACTTGAAGTTTTCTCAGGATCAACCTTAGGTGGCGCAGGAAGCAGGAAAGGAATTTACTGACATTTTATACATTTATGGTTTCATCTAAATTCTATTCTAGTAAATAAATATAACTTTACTGCACCTCCTATAAAACCTCAATTGCCTTTCACCAATCTTACATGCCTGAAATAAACCACATAAAATAAACCTTACAATTAATTGTGCTTTTAAATAAAATAAATCAAAGAATGAAATCAGTCTCTGATGTTGTTTCCCTTTAATACTGTGTTTGTTCCTTCTTTAGCATATACATACAGTCAATTATTATTATTATTATTATACAGTGTTTATATAGCGCCAAAGGGTATGCTCAGCGCTGTACAGTAGCAAGGGGGACAGAACATGAGACAATACAGTATCAATACAATACACGAGGGGTTCGAGGGTCGTGCTCTTTCGAGCTTACAATCTAGGAATTATTTGCATAAATCAGTCTCTAGTGTATTCTGTGTCGTGGTTGCAAATGATACAAATTCCACCTTTAGGGGTTTACTTATTAAAGCTGGTTCACTCAGAATCTCATGCATAGAAACCAGCTTACCGGTTTTATTGCTAAAGATTAATTGAACAAGCTGAGGTTAGAAGGTGATTGGCTACCATGCACAGGTGCATGAGATTCTGAGTGAATCAGATTTAGTGAATAAACCCCTTAGTGTCTTCAAAGATCAATAGGGTATAGTGATTGAGTCCCTGAGGAAGTCATGTGAATGTGACGACACACGTAAGGTGGAGCTGGGTGACACAAGCTGAAACCGGAACCGAGGTGGGAGCCGCGGCCCCACTCTCTGTAATTTTAAAAGTGATTTTTGATGTTTTAAATGCAAGTGCAAGCCTATGCTAATCAATTGTTTTACTACATACTACACCACGAGCGGTCCGTGTGTTTTGTGAGTTGGTTTGCAGAGCCATAGGAATGGGACACCCAATCTTTAAAGGGCCATACACTAGAAAATCTGGATGGCTATAAAATGGCAACATAATAAGGGACATGGAAAGGAGTATTATCACAATAGAGCCTGAGAGTGAACCCTTAAGGGAGAAAGCGATATTTGACCTGAACATTGACAGGTCAACCAGTGAAGTTGAGTGCATTAGTGGAAAGGTGGTGGAAGTCACTATACACTATTTGATCAATCTTTGAAGACTCTAAAGGTTTAATCTGTATAATTTGCAACCACAGCATAGAAGATTATTACACTAGAGACTGATTTATGCATGTAATTGACTGTATGTATATGCTCAAGAAGAACGTACGAGGTATTGAAGAGAAAACACCAGAGACTGATTACATGGTTTGAGTTGGTTTGTGTAAAAGCACAATTAATGGTAAAAATGTATCTTATTTGGTTCATTTCATGCATGTAAGATTGGTGAATGGAAATTGAGATTTTACAGGAGACACAGCAAAGTTATAGTTATTTGCTTGTAAGATTTTGTGGGAACACAACTATTTGTTTGCAGTCTTCACAATTGGGATTGGTATCCACATCTACAGTATAAGGAACACTTATCAGGTAGTGCCGGATTGTTCTCTCTGTATTAGTTCTTAATTCTACACTATAGTGACAGGGTTGTATTAAAACTGATCTCCTGTCATCTTTTTTAAAACCACTTTTTAGGTTAGTAAGGGTTAAATGCTCATTTAGGTTAGGGGTGTAAAGAAATACATTATTCCTTGCTTGTACACCGGACTCATTTCTCCGATCCCCTTCAGCCAGCATATAATTTAAACATTTAATCCTTACTATCCTGGGTTAGGATCCAAAAGTTAATTTAAAGGCTAAGCAGAGTTCAGTTTTATTTGTGGCTAGAAGGAAAGCTTTAAACCATACCACTAGAGCAAACAACAATTGAATATGTCAGCAGTTAGTAAATATATCTGCAGATATACACATATATTTGCTACTTCAAGATCAGCAGAGTGATACCACTACGTCTTCTGATTTTTTTCAGGTTCTGTGAATAAGCAGTAGAAATGGTCCAACTGCTGCTCTGTTTGCTTTTTTTTTTTTAATGTATTGTCTGGGTAGATTTGCATGGGCAGCTCTCTTGCCCATGAGGTTGGTTGGCGTTCCTATCCACGCTAGCGTGTACAGATCGTTCAGTCTCCATTTGACTTCTCTGTAAGCTGCTGGAAAAGTCTGAATGTGATGGAAACGTGCGCCCCTTCTCACCATGCTCTGTGATCCTTCCCACTATTTCCTATATCAAGTCTGTGCCCTGTAATGATGTAGGGGCAGGTTGGAAGAACCAAGTGTGGTGGGAACACAGGCGTCTGATAGACCTAGAAAAATGTCAAATATGAAGACTCTTTTGGCAGCCTTGCAGTGTAGTATAGCAATGACTCCACAAATGAGCATTTGAAAGGGTATGTATACTTTTACGGGAGCCTAATTTTACAGGAGATTTTAGTTTATCATATGTTTTTCATTGACAGGGTTTATTTAAGGTGGAATAGTTGTCCATTACAATGAATCTGCTTGTTACATTCCACTTTAGCAGAGGTTGAATATTATGAGCAACATCAGTTCTGATTGTTTCCTGTTGAGTCTTACTTGATCTTACTTCTCAGTGTATTTCTATCCAACAGGTAGTGTGGGTGCTCTCAAACCTGGGAGGTCAGTTTGGATTTTGGATGGGGGGTTCAGTCTTGTGCATCATCGAGTTTGGAGAAAAATCATCATAGACTGTATTTGGATCACTATCCTCAAAAGCCTCGCTTGGAACAGAAATAGGAGGCAAAAGAAGCGAAGTCCACAGTATAGTGATCCACCACCAACAGTGGCTGAACTGGTAGAGTCCTACTCTAATCCTGGTTTCCAGCATGAAGATCCAAATCATGGTAGCATGCCGATACCTGGCACTCCACCTCCGAAGTACGACTCTCTGCGCTTGCCACAGATGGACACCATTGATGTCATATCCAGTGATGATGAATCATAATGTTACATTTATATAATGACTACTAACGCACAGTGTTCATCTAACTAGTCAATATTTTCAAAGAATCTACTATTATAATATTGTGTAAGAGTAAATGATCATTATTAAGTAATATAGGTTATATGACATGACCACAAGAAGCTCGTGTTTAGTGCTGAAGAAGTTTAAAAAGGTACTGGAATAGGACACGTCTGCTCTATTCAATCTGGTCCAGTAGAGGGATACACATAAGCCATGGTAAAAACTATGTGCCTGGTCAACTAAACTTTACTTAAAGGACCATCCATTATACAGACGTTACATAATGTGAATGAGTTAATATGTTTAAGTTTTGTATGTAAAATAAAACGCATCTGTATAAAAAAAAAAAAAAAAAAAAAAGAAGATATACATTACATTTATGTAAATTTACTGCAAAGTCTATTGCCTTGTGTTGTCTGCCAACTTCGGCAAAAAATTGCAGTAGGAAGTTATTTCCTAGGAGATTACTTAAGATTACTTAAACATTTTCCATTAGCTTCCTTTGAAATTATTTCTGTTTTGATAGTATATCACCACATTTATATATGATCTGTGACTGTTAATAAAACTCTTTTATAAACCAGTGTATGAAAATTGTGTAATTGATCTTTCATGATTTCACTATACTTCTCTTGAAAATGCATAGGGGGCATCCAGGCTACCTAGTCAATAGGTCAGTTTTCCATTTGGGTGTTGTAGTGAGCCAGTTCACCCCAGTCCCTTTTGTCTGTAATCTAGTAATCATTTAACAAGCTATGCCTTGCTGCCCCTCACATATGGAAAATCTGATGGAAAAAAAATTTCCAATCAGACAGTCAGTAAAAATGTTTCTGCAGGGCATTACGCAAAAGTCATATTAAAGCGGATTGTACTGAGCAGATACAGAAACTTCTATTGCTAATTTTTCTGATTATACTAGGTTCCTGACTATCATTTTCCGCCTGTAGCCTCCATTAGTCATGGTCTCCAAACAAGTATAGAGGTTAGTAATTCAGACTTCAAGTGGACTTTCATGATCTGTCTACTTGGAACTCTGAACTGCAATTCTTAAGGAAAACTGGAAAATACAGTTTAATGGTTGACAACCTGTTAAACCGGACCTTGAAATTAAAACAAATTAAAACTTGCAATGTGGAGAAGTGCATTCTTGCTAAATTTGGGTGGAGCCCCACATGGCAGCATCTTTTTTATATTGTGACAGCAGTACCATGGTATTACTTCTCACTCCACCAAAGAGCCCGGTACATTCATTCCATCTGAATTGGCCAGTTTTGTAGACAGTGCCTCCACCAGCACCTCTTCTTATTTATGCATAACCCCCCACTCCAGCTCAGTAAAAAGAAAGCTCACAGAAGAGGCAGGAGAGGGGGAAAATCAAGACACCACCAAAAAAAGCAAATGGCTGATATGGTAAAAATCTACAATCTTTCTTCCTATACACTCACGGATAAAGATATCTCAATAGAGGGCTTAATTTTGCCCCCACTATATGGCCCAATCCATTTATTTTATTTAAAGATCTTAACAGGTTTATTACAAACCTTACGCTAAAATGATATTATAGCCTATAAACCATACAAAGGGCTGATAACAGTGTCAACATAGATATTTCTGAAGTTCCCGACATGTCCTTTGACTCTGTTTATCTGTCCGCTCTTGCCAATCTTGAGGAGCTACAGGTCGACTTACTCAACATTTAGTCTCGTCATCATCCCATTCAACATACGTTTAGACCCAAGTCCATTTTTCACCCTACTTACGCCAAAAGGCCCTTTCTTAGAAACCTTCTATCGAGTTGCGTGCACAGAATAAGTCAACACATGTAAGAAAGATACTTCAAGTACTAGCCATCATATTCTGACTAGGGGGAACAAAAGGGTCTTGAATATTTATCTAAAAACTCCAATGTAATTATAAAATCAGCTGATAAAAGGTGGAGCTATAGTGATCAAAGATAAAGTGGACTATGTTAGAGAAGCGGAGCATCTCCTCTCTGATCCCAGAACATACAAGAAACTAAAAAAAGGATCCCTTACCCGAGTTCATTAATGAGGTAATTATCCTCATAGATACAGCCAAGAAACAGGGAGTCATCACTAAGGCGGAGGCTGCTTTTTTTCGGAAAGAATTTTATAAAGTTCCTTATTTCTATCATCTTCCGAAAAGCCACAAGGATGCTAGGAACCCTCCAGGGTGCCCCATAGTGGCTTCTATGGAAAGCATCACTAGTGGGTTCTCATTGTATATTGACCAGTTTTCGCAGGACCCCGAGCTCAATCTTATCGGATTGGATGTCACTCCACTTCCTCAAACTAAATCTTTCCCCTCAAGCCAGAGTACTAGGTGTCATCCTAGACTCCAATCTGTCCTTCCAGCCCCAGGTCCAATTGCTGACAAACTCATGTAGACTTCACCTCTGCAACATTTCCAAAATAAGACCGTTCCCAACCTCGGAAACCACTAAGCAACTCATTGACTCTCCTTATCATATCTCGCCTCGACTACTGTAACTCCCTCCTCATCGGCTTACCTCACCGCAGGCTATCCCTGCTTCAGTCTATCTTGAATGCTGTGGCCAGACTCATCCACCTTACTAACCGCTCCGTATCTGCCACCCCACTCTGCCAATCCCTCCACTGGCTTTCGATTGCCCAACGGATAAAATTCAAAACGCTAACACTGACGTATAAAGCTGTTCATAATACTGCCCCAAACTACATCACCGATCTTGTCTCTAAATACCACCCAAAACATACTCTCCTCACAAGACCTCCTACTCTCTAGCTCCCTGGTCTTCTTCTCCTCCCATGCTTGTCTCCAGGACTTCCCCCATCCTCTGGAACTCCCTACCCCAATCCATCAGACTATCACCTACTCTGCTCACCTTTAGACGCACTCTGATAACCTCTCTCTTCAGGGAAGCCTACCCCGCCCTCAGCTAATTACTGAACTCCTCCACTCTTCCTACCACTCCATCACCCACAGCTATTTCATCCTGTACCACCATCCCCTCCCTCCTAGATTGTAAGCTCCAAGGAGCAGGGCCCTCGAACCCCTCGTGTATTGAATCATATTATTACTGTACTGTCTCGTGTACTGTCTCCCACCATAATGTAAAGCACTGAGCAAACTGTCGGCGCTATATAAATCCTGTATAATAATAATAATAATAATAATCTTTACCAGCCTATATGAGGGATGGTATACACCTCATGGAATAGCTAAGTACACCTGGGAGCCCACCTACAGGTGAGTTTCCCTCGATGTATGTTCTTTGTATACATGTATAACCCATGACATTGGAGTCCTAGCCGTGAAACACTTCCTTATGGAAGACCCCTTATTGAGCCACTCATCACTTAGACATCACTAACCTGATCAATCACTGTTTTTGGTAGAAATTATTCTTCTACATGGCAAATAATTTACTAGCAGGTGTAGTAGAGTAATAGAAATCCCAACAGAACCAACAGTCATGACATGCATGCTGCTGATTCTGTGTAATTGAATCTCTAATTGAAAGGGGCACGTTCAAAATAATAGCAGTGTGGAGTTCTGTTAGTGAGGTCATTCATTCTTTGAAAAGCAGGTGGCAATTATTGCCCTTATTTAAGGAAGGAAGGCAGCAAAATGTTGTACATGCTGGTTACAGTGCATTTCTCTCTGAAATTCTGAGGAAAATGGGTCGTTCCAGACATTGTTCAGAAGAACAGTGTACCTTGATTAAAAAGTTGATTGGAGAGGGGAAAACATATAAAGAAGTGCAGAAAATGATAGGCTGCTCAACTAAAATGATCGCAAATGCTTTAAAATGGCAACCAAAACCTGAAAGACGTGGAAGAAAGTGAAAAACTACCATTGGAATGGATAGAAGAATAGCCAAAATGACAAGGACTCAGCCAACACTCAGCTCCAGGAAGATCAAAGAAGGTCTAAAGTTACCTGTGAGTACTGTTACAATTAGAAGATGCCTATGTGAAGCCAAGCTATATGCAAGAAGCCCCCGCAAAGTCCCACTGTTGAAAAAAAGACGTGCTGAAGAGGTTACAATTTACCAAAGAGCACATTGACTGGCCTAAAGAGAAATGGCGCAACATTTTGTGGACTGATGAAAGCAAGATTGTTCTTTTGGGGTCTAGTGGCCGGAGACAGTTTGTCAGACGACCCCCAAACACTGGATTTTAAGCCACAGTACACTGTGAAGACAGTGAAGCATGGTTGCGCAAGCATCATGATATGGGGATGTTTCTCATACTACGGTGTTGGGCCGCTTTATCGCATACCAGGGATCATGGATCAGTTTGAATACATCAGAATACTTGAAGAGGTCATGCTGCCTTATGCTGAAGAGGAAATGCCTTTTGAAATGGGTGTTCCAATAAGACAACGACCCCAAACACACCAATAAACGTGCAACATCTTGGTTCCAGACCAACAAGATTGACGTTATGGAGTGGCCAGCCTAATCCCCGGATCTTAATCCAATAGAAAACTTGTGGGGTGACATCAAAAATGCAGTTTCTGAGGCAAAACCAAGAAATAGAGAACTGTGGAATGTAGTCCAATCATCCTGGGCTGGAATACCTGTTCACAAGTGCCAGAAGTTGGGTGACTCCATGCAACACAGATGTACAGCAGTTCTCAGAAACAGTGCTTATACAACTAAATATTCATTAAGTGATTCAAAGGAAAGCAAAATCTTCAAACATTTTTCAGTTTATATAGTGAATGTTTGAGTTTGTAAAGAAGAATACAAACACTGCTATTTATTTGAACAGTCTAATTTTCACTTTTCTTCAATTTTTTTTAGAGGAACAACACAAATTTGATATATTTTTCTTCATGTTTTGATTTGGAATAGAATGTGTAGTGTTCCCAATGCATTTGTGTGTATGGAAATAAAAGCTATTAGAAGGATTTTGAGCTTTATTCACTTTTTTCAACACACTGCTATTATTTTGAAC